AAAAAAAAAAAATCAAAGCCCACCATCTCCTTTGCATATCAGCAATCTGAGTACAGCGCTGTTCCCGCCTTCATTAGTCCATCTTTGTATTAGTTGCAGTTCTCTGGAGGAACAGAATCCACAGAAATGTGAGTGTAATTATACAAGGGGATTACAGGGTGTACAGGATCAGAGATAGGAGTCCACAATGGGTGTCTGTGGGATCAGAAGCAGGACAATCTAGCAACTTCTCGGCCAAGATAGAAACTGCAGAATAGGGATCAAGGATGCAGCTCCATCTCAGTCAAAGGCCTTGAAGCTTGCTGGAGTCCTGACTCTTCTATTATGTTTTACTTTTCTTGCTGTCTTCATTTTGAATCTTAACTCTAAAAACTTAGCGGTGCTTCTTCCAGGTACAAGTGGCACTTGAATTGCTTTCTGTAATTTGAGTGACATCTGGAAACTCACTGAATAATTCCTTGGGTAATTTACTTCTGAAAGGCTATTGCTTTCCATTATGGAATTGCTTAGTGCTATGATTTGAATGTGTTCCCCAAAATTCATGTATTCAAAACAATCCACAATGCAAGTTGAGTGATAAGACCTTCACATCCTCATGAGTGCATTAAAGCTGTTACTAGGGAAGGGGGTTATAGAAGTAGGGTATCCTGGGAGTTCCTGACAGAAAGATGAGCTTGGCATTGTCCTTCTCATCGTGGGAAGCCTTTTCCATGTTATAATGTAGCAAAAAAGTACTGCCCAGATGTGGCTTCTCCATCTTGGACTCCAGAACATAAGGCAAATAAATTTATTATAAATTACCCAGATTGGTATTGTTACAGCAACACAAAATGGATGGACACTTCAGCTTGGGAAGTCTGTCTTCTAAGGGTAATTTCCCTTTCATTTCCTCATTTTTCAGCTAGAAAACATCCATAGCAGATTCCTGAACTGATACTTCTGAAGTGTTAATCTGTAGGATGAGGTTAAACTATGAGTAACAGAAAACTCAAAATAACAGGGGGAAGATAAAGTTTCTTTCTTACAAATGTCTAGGTCAGCATGCCAGGGCCAGAGCAGTCTTCCAGCAGCTTGTTGCTCTACCATGCATGGCTTTCATCCCATTGTCCCCTCTAAGAAAATATCCATCCTAGGAAACAGGAAGTAGGGACTTTTTTTTTGTATCGGGGATCAAACTTGGGAACTTATTCTTTTGAGGCAAGCAGCAGAACCACTGAGCTAAATCCTCCGCCCTGGGAAACAGGAGGTAGGAAGGGATGGAGAAAGGTACAGGGTGCTTGTGTCCAGTATCCTATTTTAGTATATGTGCTGAAGTGAGCACTGTGTCCAGTATCCTAGGGAAGACTCTTTAAAGCAGTCACATGAGACTTTCTGCTGACATCTCATTTACCATAATTTAGATGTGAGTATTCTGAACTATGAGAGAGGCTGCGAAATGTAGCCTTCATTCTAGGCAGTTATATACTACCTAATCTTTTTATCATTACTGGAGAAGAATGAATAGCATTCATGGCAAATGGGCTACAAACTGTTTGCACTGGGACATGGTGAGGGCAGATACCTCTACCAAACCCTCCTCAGCATGCCACTTTCTCTTGCTTTGATAGGTCTATGTGTCCTCTTTTCTGCCTTTTTAAAGCAACAGTTGATGTGTCCCTGTGCTTGACTTCCCTTCACAACCTCTACGGAGGAACAGCTGAGTTTGTCACAGTATAACTGACTTTCAAAGTTAATCCCTTTCCTTCCTTAACGTGAACAGGCCCAGTGCTATTTGTAGGATTTATTCATTTTTTAAAAAGCTTTTTTTTTTTCAGGCCCAGATGATTATCTAACATTTTGTTCTAGATTTTGTCTAATGACGTCTTCTATGATCAAAGCTAAGTCACTAGGTTTTGGTTGAACAAAAATAAGCATTGTTCAAAGAATTTATGTCCATCTCCAACTTTCTGAGTTAGATAATCCTAACTGGGATGCATTTTCTGATTGGACCTAACAGGTAATCCAGGCTTAGATCCCATTTATCACTGTCCCGACTGTTATATTTTACCTTCCTTATTATCTTCATTTTGAGTCAATTCTAAAAATTTCTCAGGCATGTTTCTTGGGGTACAAGTAGCACTTGTGTTGCTATCTATAACTTGAGTGACATCTGGAAACTCACTGAATTCCTGGAGCAGTTTACTTTCTTTTGACTAATGGTTCCCTCTTTGATTATCCAGACTTTCAAAGAACACTTGGTATCCCTGTCCCAGCCTGAAAGATGTTAACTGTGGCTCTCACCAAGGGGTCGTGGAATACTTTGCCCGTCTGGCCCACAGTCTTAATCTTTCTGGGAGAGGAAGTAAAGGTTTTCTGAGAATTTGCTTCTATTCTTATTAGATTCCATTTGGTCCACATTGCCTTTTCTGTCCTAAAAGACACCCATGAACATCTACCCACTCAAAATAATCTCTTACATGAATTAAGCCATAAGCACATCATCTTTTCCCTTTGACTGGTCTGTCCTTCAACTTCACTTTTTCTTTTATGTCTCGATGTTATCAACTTTCTCTCCAAAAAACTCTTTCTCAACCCTGTTATTCTTGGTTTACTTTGTTACATTCTCCCATTGCTCCTGTTCTAAGACCGAGGAAGGAACAGTGGAGAAAACACTCCAGATAGTACTTGATTTCCTGAACAAACCTGATTGTTAGAGACTGTTCTAGGTGCAGGACTCATTACCTTTTTTCTTTTTTTTCTATTTTTGGTACCAGGGATTGAACTCAGGACCTTGCATTTGCAAGGCAGGCGCCAAAACCACTGAGCTAAATCCCCAGCCCACTAATTGCCTTAAAAAAAAAATTAGCTTCAAAACAGTTTATCTTGTCTTTTAGTTAGGCATTCATTATAATAAAGGGACTCATTCCTCTGGTTGGTTTTAAGAAAAGCTTTCCATGGGTGTCTGCAGAGCTGGAGACCTGAAAATGTAAAGCCATGATCAGGGCTGATATGATTTTTAAGTCTGGTCAATCTAGGAACACATAGAGGGATAAAATGACTTCTGAATCTGTGGAGGGGCCATGTGATTTCAAGTTAGTTCCAGCATACCGACTACACAGGCTGGCAATAAAAACTGAAAATCAGAACTTCGGATTTCAGTGCTGTGCAGCAATATGCTGTATAAAGAACTTGTAAGGAAAGAATTACAAAAATCATCTTGTTACATCTTTTAAAAAGTAACAGATCAGGCAATAATTAACAGTTTTTACAATGATGGAGCAGAATGACAACATCTGACTCAGTGACCAATTCTTTATTTTTCTTTTGTTTTGGGGTGGGGTCTTGCTATGTTGCCCAGGCTGGCCTCAGTCCACATGCTCAAGCCTTGTACATATCTAGCTACACGTGCATGTCACTACACTTGAATGTACTGAACAATTTTGTCACCTCAAAAAGTGGTATATCAGATGATATGCCCCTGATATAACACAATGGGAACCACACAGAAGTATTCTTGCAAAATACATATATTTTTTTGTACTGGGGATTGAACTTGGGACCTTGTGCTTG